CGGCTACTCGATGCAATGCGTTTCTGAGGAGTCGCGAAAAAAGGGCTGATCACGCCACTGCTACCGTTGCTGAAAAGAGCGAGAGGAAACGGAGGGTTGAGGATGGAAGCTGGCACAATGACGAGGATGAAACCAGCGGGGAGCAGGCAGGCAGGGAGGGAGGGGGGAAAGCCCGCGAGGAAACGGGCGGTAGAGGAGAAGGGGGAAGGATTGCGCGGGTTAAGCCGAGAGGGGACGTTATGCGAAGACGAATGCGGGACGAAGAGGGTTGTGTGGATCGGATTGCGTCCTCGCGAGGTAGCAAGAGAGATCGAAAGAATGAGAGAGAGAGAGAGAGAGAGAGAGAGAGAGAGAGAGAGAGAGAGAGAGAGAGAGAGAGAGAGAGAGAGAGAAAGGGGGGGAGAGGGAGGGAGAGAGAGAGAGAGAGAGGAGAGGGGCGAAGAGAGCAGAGAGTAAAAGATGGACCGAGTAGCAGGGGTGAGGAGAGCAGGGAGGTATGGAGGGAGGGAGGGAGGGAGGGACACGTCGGCATCGGCTTGACAGGTGACAACCGATCGGGCCACTGACGTCACAGATCACTCGGCCGGGCACGCGCACGCACGCACAGACGACTTACGCGATTCGCACCGCGACGTGCATGAGATCGGGCTGTCGTCGTCGTGCGTCACACTCGCGTACATCTGTGCACCATCGATACACGCACGCAGGCAGGCAGGCAGGCAGACAGGCACGCACGCACGCACGCACGCACGCACGTATACACATACGTCCGTCACGATCTTCGGCACGTCACGCGTGAGAAAAAGAAATCTCGCGAGCGGCCGAGCGAGCGAGGGTACGCGACACGACGGCGGGGATGAAAGACGGATAGACGCGGGATAGGTAAACGGGTGAAAATAGGAGAAGAGTCCGAGAGAGAACGGGACGACGAGAAACGTGCAAAAACAGAGAACGAGGAGGTGCGCGACGGGCAAGTGACGAGCACGACGGAGATGGCGAGAGCCGGAGGGTGAAACGCGCGAGAGAAATTTTCCTGCGGCCAATTTGCGACTTAAACTCAAGTATTTACCGGGTGTTAACCGGCCGATGATGATAGCCCCCGCGCGCGGCGCCTCTCTATCTGGTTACCATTACACTCGGATGTATGAAATGCGCCAGCGGCATACAACCATCCCCCCACAATAGCCCTATTTATGATTGGGCAAAATTGCTTTCCATGCGCAGAATAAAATCTCGCGCGCGGGTCCAGGAAAAATCCGCGGGGCGCGACGGGGACGCCGCGCCGCGGCGGATTCCCGGCGGCGCGTCGCCCTCGCACCGTCCACGTCGGCCGGGGATGCGCGGCCAGGTCGACGTGCACGGCGACGTGGTCGCGGTCGCGCCCCGACGCGCGACTCGTCGCCGTTTTCCGCCGATTTTTCTCGCCGTCCACGCAGCCGAGATTCGCGACCAAATTAAATATGGTCTGCCGCGGTCACGTGCGCGCGTGGCGCTGCGGTCGCCGACCGCTCGGCCAATCGCGTTCGCGAGCGCGCTTAGTTCGCGGCCACGCCGTCGTATCGCCGCGCTATGTTCGCGTCCCACATCGCGGTTTCGCCATGCTCGCAATTACCGGGTTTCATGCAACCGGGATTTACTCCCTCATCTCCCCGCGACTCGGCCATCTCATCGTTCCTCGCGTTTCCCCGCTACGTTCCTCCATCCAATCAAGTCTCGCTCGACCTGACGCTCTCCGCCTTCGTCGTGAGTACCATCAAAGATCCGCGCGTCATCCTGTAACAAAAGACACCCGACGCATAATCATAAGCTCGAACATTCTGTCCGTCGCGCAGTCTCGTCGCTCGACGACGGTGACGACAGGACGACGTTCTCTCACCTTCAACGACACGATCAGCGAAATCCCGGCGACGAAGAGCGTGCCGCGGCTCATCTTCGCGAGGGCGCCGATTCGAACGCGATCCGCGCGTCTCGCTGCTCCCAGAAACTCACCATGCACCGTACGCGCCATGTTCACCAACCGCGACGATTGCGCAGGAAAATTACCACGCGTCGGCGCTCTCGTCAGCGATTGTCGAAGGTTGGCCAGCGTGTCCTGACGCTCGCGACCCCACGACGCTCACGACGAGCTGTCTCCTGTCTGTGGTGTAGCAGGTAGGCCAGTTGGCAACAGACAGTCGATCGGTGCGTTTGGTCGTGCGCGCGTGAGCCAGTAAACGCGTGTTCGTGTTTCCGTCGTACGCAGCTGCCCTCCGGAGAAGAGCGAGACGCGCTTGCGGCGGTTTGCGTCGCGTCGCGTCGTCTCGCGTCGCGTCGCATCCCGTCGAGTCCGCGGGTGCCGTCGGTCTCCCCTTGAGGGGCAATCGTGAGATCCGAGCGACGCTGCGTCAACGAACAGGCGGCGCGGCTGCCATGGGGCCCGAAGACGGGATCATTTGACCCACGGGAGCGACTCCAGGCTCGGTGGGATCGTCGCGCTGCCTCGACTGAGAGCTGCGAATCGGTAAATATCGCCTCGACGTCATTGTCATTTATTCTAGCCGTTGTCATTGCCCGTGGCCGACTCTGCCATCTGTTCTACGCCGCCGTGTGTGATAGCGCTCGTTCCTTCTCTCGCTCGCTCGCCTTCGTCGTCGTCGTTGTCGTTGTCGTTCCCGTTCCCGTTCCCGTTCCCGTTCACGTTCCCGTGGCCGTGGCGCGAGGAGACGTGACATGACGCGAGGGCGCTCCTAGGAGAAAGCGCTTCCTCGCGACCGTAATCGCGCTCGCGAGTGCACGTCTTGTCTTGTTTCGTCGTTGAATCTCGGTCGTGCACGAAGTGACACGCGAGGAGCTGCTTCCTCGCCGACGTGCCCGACGAGCACGAACCTACCGCGAGCGAGTAGCCGAAGACGCGCACTCGTCGAGCGTACGTCGCCGTCGCGAAATCCGTGCCAGCTACGGCGGCTCGTGTCCGCTCGGCGACGCGTATTCGTTCCCTCGGCGATTCTCGCGGACGACTCGAAGAGAGATAGAAAGAGAGAGAGAGAGAGACGGAGAGACGGAGAGAAAGAAAAAGAGCGAGAGACAATGGACTCGGTGAACGCACACGCCGTTCGTCATCGAGTTGCATCAGCTGTGTAGCACCTCATCGCGGACCGCTCGGCCTGGATGAGGGGACGGGGAGGAGGAGGAGGCAGCGGCGGCGACGACGACGACGACGGTATTGCTCATACGCGCTCACAATTCCCTTCATTCGCGACATCCTTATCGGGACGCTTTCTTTTTTCTCGCTTCCTCGAGACCAGTTTAGCGTGCCCTTTGGCACGGAGACGCGCGATAATAATGAGGCGACTCGCCGTGCAGATCGAGCCGCACGTCATCGTGCATGCGTGACGCGAAGGGCCGGTCCGTCATGTCTCATCCCTTGGCCCGTCTCGTCACGGTGTGTTCCAGCTGTTTGTGACAGCTCGTGAGGGAGCACCGCTTTGTGTGCTGCGCTGGTCGGCCGCTCGCTCGCTCGCTCGCTCGCTCGCTCGCCCAGCCAAGGCTGACTATTATTTGTCCCCTCAGCATGCCCTCCTTCTGGGCTTCGGTTTCGCGGCTGGATTTCGCCTGGCAACCGAGCGGACACGAGAGCGCACGTTTTCACCCTTCCATCCCCTCGTTCCCTTGGCCCCTCCGCCAAGCGAAGAATGGCAAAGAGACGGACAGCGAGTACTCGTGTCGGCGAATTAAAAGCGCCCTCGGGTCTTCGGGAGCAGGTATTGTGACACTGTTCGGGGAGGTTTCCCATCGGAATCACTCCAGGCTGGCCGAGGCACCTAATGGAACTGCCGCGGATGCCACGTGCAATGCGAGTCGAGGAAGTGATCGAGCGGTTCCGGCGATCGAGGCGGAAATCTCCTGGAACGATTTCGTAACACTCGCACTCGCACGGCGGCGAGAGAGAGAGAGAGAGAGAGAGAGAGAGAGAGAGAGAGAGAGAGAGAAAGAGAGAGAGGCAGGCGAGAGAGACAAAAGCGACGACTTTTTTTGTTCCTGTGATCGCCTGGAAAGCGAATTTCTGCTTTTTTCTCTTTCTTCCGTCGCGACTCGACGGACTTTGATTCGTGTGACGTGGATTCGCGTTACGTGGAAGGCTCAAGTCGATCGAGTGCTTTCGAGCGGACCGCCGGTCTACTTTGGCACGGAATTAAGACGCTTGTTTGGAGTGCGATAAACAATCGCGCTCTGATAACATCAGCATACCCGGGGCGAGCACTTGCGAAACTCTGCCGTACGACTCCGCCATGAGAGAGCACAGCGGACAAAAGACCGATCGCTTTGCATATTCATACTGTAAATCAGCCGACAGCTCACCCAGCGGTGTCGCACGCGCCAGCGCGATTATCATCGCGCTTTTGAGACGGACGCTGATTAGTGCCTCAACCAAAGCGGACAAATTCAGCGACTCTCCAACAAAGTCGCGCTTTTCTCTCGCGAAAAATCCCGAGACTAGCATTCGTCGTAAAATTATGCAAATCGGCCGATCCGATGCGTGGAGCTTCTTTTACAACCGATTGTCACCGAGCGCTTCGCTGACGAACGAAATTTCAAGGTTGCTCTCGTGAGATTGTAAACGGGACAACGGCTTTTCGGATAGAGAAACATTACTTACGGTTTGTGGCATCTTCCGCAGCAACAAGGGACGAGCCAGCTGGAGGTCCATTCTTGGGCCCTAAAGGGTGGCGGCATAAAGAGTTAGAGAGAGAGAGAGAGAGAGAGAGAGAGAGAGGGAGGGAGAGAGAAGGAGAAAGAGAGATGGGCACGCACTTGTCCCTCTCTCTTTTTGTCTCGCATTCTTCTCTTTCTTTCTCGCTTTGTCCGTCTCTCTCTCTCTCTCTCTCTCTCTCTCTCTCTCTCTCTCTCTCTCTCTCTCTTCTCCGCCGGGCTTTGTCAAAACAGCACGGGGGCGTTGTCTTAGTCTGAACGTTGAACCCACGTTGTTTCGGGTGGATACCTAAAAAGAAATTCAAGGTGAAGCAGTCAGGTCGCCGGCTGGGTCCCCCTTGCTGAGACCTCAAAGCGCAACTTTGCCGCGGCGGTGCTTGCGAAGGGAATCCCACAAGATCAGCAGGCCCGTCGCAAAAGGGCACGTCGGGATTGACCCGCGATAATTCGTATGCGTCTGCTCATCAGCGCCGGCCGAAATGTCACATCAATTCACATGAATATAAACATTTCAAGGGTCATGCGACAGCGGACCTCGACGCACGCGCGAGTAACGTGCTTGCGCTTTAATGTTCGAGAGCCTGTCGGTGAATCTATATCGATGCGATTCTCTTCTCCTCTCTCCCTCTCCGCCCATTTCGCTTTCTCGTTTTTAACAAGTTCTCCAAGACCGGCGAGGATCAGCCGGAACGACAGCTTCCTAAAGCGCCGACCAAAGTAACGGGCCACTGTTCGGCCGAGGCGTTAAAGAAAAAAGCGTCACGCGAGAGGGCCGCGCGCGCGCGCGTGTCCACGTGAGTTAAAATTGCGAATCGGCCTTGGTGGCGAGTGCCTATAAATACGAGGTTCGCTTATAGGCGACCCGCGACCGACGGTGCAACGCGCACCGCTGTGCACCGTCGTCGTCCCTCGGCAAGGCTGCGCGTGCTAGGAAACGCTTTGTCGCTCCTCCGTTCTCCGGCGCTCTGACGCATTATGTAAGACTACGCGGTGTCGCAGGATGCGTCTTACGCAGGTACGCAAGTCGCGCGCGGACTGTGTCGGGAGATCTGCCGGATTTGGATCTGCGATCGATCCGTCGCGATCGGTGAATCGCGACTTCGCGATCGACGCACACACACACATACACACACACGCGCGCGCGACACACCGGTCTCTCTCACAAGGCAAGAGAAATTCGGCTCGTGTAACCGAATTTCTGTTATCCGGCAGGCCGAAACTCGTTTGTAAGACCGGAAAAATTCCTGTAGAGGAGTCGGTTAATTCACCTCAGTTGTCTCGATTCGATACGGAGAGAAAGGTTGGTCGAGTTAGCCTGACAATGAACGAACCAGACGCGTTTTGTTTGGAGCCGATGAAGATTTTCTGGTTCTCGGGGCCGAATTCGGCTCGTAAGAACCGGACATTCTGTCGTCACGCTCATTCAAGCGATCTCCGTGCGAAATTTAGCCCTTTATATCCTGACGGTACGCGGAGAAAGTACCGTGCTCTCTGTAAACGCTCATGTTCTTCGACTTGTTTTTACTCTCTGTCTTACTTTATGTTCCTGTTGGTACTTTTAAATTCCACCTTAAAATCATTAAATTGTTAGAAAATTAATTTTCCTCTTCCTTGTGTTTATAAGATGCCAAAAGCTATTTAAGTACACAACGATTTAATGAGTCGGTCTTAGGCAAATTAATTCAGGATATAAAAAGGGTTATCGCAGACAGAACGGTATCATTTCTCGTCGCTGAACTTTTCGTCCTGGTTCGCGAGAGGTGCGGTAATTTTTCTTTTGTTCATAAACAAACCAAGTTTGTTTTGCACAGTTGTGCGAAGGAGGAGAAAGTGCAAGGCGAGGTCTTCGTGAGCGAAGAATGTTCTTCACGAGTGAGCCGCGGTGGCGGACGTCACTTAATCCGGGTTCTGAGTTATTTTGTAAGAAAACCACGGAAGTTTCGATCTGTCCTCAGGTTCTGAGGATTCAAGAAATTACAATTATTTCTGCTCGCCGCTCGATCGCAGGCGAAGGCACGCACGTGCGATTTAACTCGAGTGCAGCAGTCGAGGGGAGAGCAGCGTCTGCCTGCCTGGGGGGTCACAGAGCGAATCACTTCGAAATTCATAATTCGTGTCAACGTCAAGTAATTCTAACGCGCGCGTCGACTGACACACGATCGCGCGCAAACGCGCACAATTACCTCCGCACACAGCACGCACTGCGCGCGCGCGCTGCGCATTCTGCGCACATAGGCATGTGCAACCACGCGCAATCGTGAAATTGCAGTAGTGTTGGTTGCATAATATACAGGTAACCTAGATCTGCACCCACTGCTTCCCACCCGTTGACCTCGTTACCCTCCCTGGTCGACTCTACTCTGCCCTCGCTAGGAAGCCTTTATTCCAAGTCGAGATGTTTCCCGCATCTCGACGAGCCGCAGCCGCCAGAACGGCCAGAAGAGATCGCGGAGTTTGACGGGACCTTGGGAACAAAAAGCAAGAGAAATACATGGGAAGAATAAATGTCACGGAATGCAACGAAGAGTGTGCTGATCGGACGAGAATTTGCCGACAAGAAACATGTCTCTCTCTCTCTCTCTCTCTCTCTCTCTCTCTCTCTCTCTCTCTCTCTCTATCTATCTTTCTCTCTCTCACTAAAATTTACCCGTGCAGGTACTCGGTTGAGAGAACTGGCGGCAGGACCGATCGAACAATGAAACTCGTGCCGGAATTTTCCCCTTTCTGATCACGATGTTTGATTTCTTTAACGTTTCTGTTTCGAATTTTCTAATCTGATCTTCGGGCAAGAGAGAATCAACATTGGACTAA